GCTCAGCAGTGCTGCTCTGACGTGGGAGGACACACAGGATCTGTTCCTGGGAACGTGCTGCCTGCAGGTCAACCTTGGGGTGCTCGTGCCGGAGGAACCCAAAGCCGTCAGAGCCCTGGGGCAGCAGGTCACCTGGGATCAGACCTCAGTTTTGAGAAAGTCACCTTCGGAAAGCCACCGTCTTCACCTGGCCTTGCACTCACCTGTCTTCCTCCTAGTTCACGTCTGCCTGGAGCCTTTAAGAAGTTCTACTCTCCTCTCCATATTTGTCACATCATCTGGTTTTGCAGAGTTCAGTGGGATCAGACTGTTTTAGATAGGTCCTTGAGTAGATGGAACACACTCTAGAGACCCCAGTGAGATGTTGGAAATCTTTATCGATTTCAGTTCTCACTGTCCCTGTGTGTTCACTAGATAATCACACAAGCTACACTTTAGGTCACTTCATTGTCACCTCACATTTTAATGTGTTCTGTAAAATATTTTCAGAAGATGGTGGAAGAGGCCGTAAGAGCAATAAATACAGAATGTTTTCATAGAAATCAGGAAGCAGGAAGGTTAGGGTCCATGATATTGAGAAGACATACTGCAAAAGGTTACTGAAGAGCCCCATCCCTGCTGTGCATTCCTGCCACCTTGGCTAACAGGGGTGGCAACAGGTGTAGCCCCGACATTGAGAACCTCTTCTCTCCGCTGAGTCACCTTCAGAACCACAGGCAGGCGGGCAGGAAGCCCAGGGTGAACCCTGGTAGCCCGGAGTCCCTTGGGGTGCAGTTCAGCAGGAGACCCTCTGGTTAGTGGAGAGAGGGAAGGTGTTCCCAGACTGAGTCTTAGATGCCCTGGAAGCTGAGTCTAGCTAACATTTGGCTTATTCTTTCTTAATTACTCATTTATGGATCCCAAAGCTCTTTTATTAAAAGGCTGCAGCCAACTTAATCTTTTGTTTTATACGAGCTTTTAAAAGAGACAATAGGTGAATGATCCTTGCCCTTATTGTGTGTAGATTCCCGTTTGTATCTTTTTATCTCTGTAGCCACCATCATATTTAACATGGTACAACCTCCTCCTTCTGACATTATCTGTAATTGATGATTTGATTTTAAACAGCATTTCCAGCTTAGTATACTAGGGATGACGTGTCACTCTTCTTTCTCAGTTGGTTCATCAATTTTCCCCAACCTGCCCCACAAGCAGCTAATGCAATAGTGGGTCTTTAAATGCACTGTGAAGATAAAATGTTTCAGATTTTACACATGATATTGAAGTAGCTGTATGCCCCTCTATTTACACACACAGCCACACATCACAGACCAGGGAAAATACAGATGCTGCTTTTGTTTATCCAGCAAATGTGGCTTTATTAAAGTAGTGTAATCGTTAAACTAGTTCCCTCATCATTAGCAGAATCTTTTATTAACAACTGCCTGAGCAATGAGAGTTTATTTGGCTTAAAAAAATGTAAAGAAATAACCCTGTTATAGTGTGGAATATTAGGTTACTTACTTTCTTCACAGTCTTTAAAGTATGAAATCCTTTAAATGCAATTTCGTCAGAAGAGTAACATTTGAAACCTTGTACCAAATATATTTCCTGTAGAAATAGCATACCTTTAAATACTTTCTAAGTATAGGTGTATGTAAAGTGAAAAGTCACAGTCCAGTTTGGTCTCATCTTATTACCTAGCCAATAGTGTTTAGGCATTTAGGAATTTAGGTTTTAAATTTAGAGGTGCTTGGCCAACCAAAATTCTGTTTCAGCTTTTAAATTCTTCTATGACTTTAAAACAAAATGTAAACCACACCCCCTTTTTTATTACTGTCCTGTTAGCCTGTTTCCTATAGCAGCGCTGATGAATACTTAGATTATAATGAATACTTGTAGATTCTCTTGAAAACCAAGCCCAAACTAGGAAGAAAAGAACAAGAAAGACGTCAGGAAACCGGTGACAGTGTATTTTTATTATCATTGGATATCTTCTCTCTTTGTAGCACACAATTCACTTATTTAAGTGTACAATTCAGGAGTTTTTCGTTTTATTCCTAGAGTTGGGTGTATTCTTTAGCATATCTGGTGCATTCTGACTTCTTAGGTTTCAGTGTTTATTTTAAAAAACATTTTATTATGGAGAATTTCAGATGCATATAGAAGTAGACCAGAAGAGCGTAGCGAACCCCAGCTGCCCAATATTCGTCTGTGTCTCTGCCCAGCTTTCTTTTGTCTTTACCCTCACTTGTTCTCTAGGATTCTTCCAGATTTCATAGTATTTCTTGCATGCAGGTTTCAGTCTGTACTCATGTAAGCTGATTTTAAACACATGACCACAATAGTGTCAAAAATGAAAATTTTAAAACAATTATTTAATATTAAATAATGAGTTAGTGTCCATATTTCTAATAAATGTTAAAACTCACCTTTATTTTATAACTTAATGAAAGCTAATTTTTATTAATGTATAAGCTAGTTGGTGAAGAACTCAGAGTCATGTTAAATATCTGTATATTGTATTTTAATATCTGCTTTGATTAAGTCTGTGCCTCTGAAATAAAATCCCAGAGATTCCAAGTTAAGTTTTACTTCCTTTCTCCCTGGGCAGAAAGGCCTCTTTTTCGGTAGCTCTCTCTGCGGGAGGCCACTTCCCTCACTTTTCTGTGAATATTTAGCCTGCTTGAGTTTTGATTTCCTGCTCTTCTTACCTGCAAGAACGAGGGATTCTGAGCATTCTGTACTGAGGAAACGGAACAGAGGGCTGGGTGTGACAGAAGTCCGTCTTGCCTTCCTGATGGTGCTATGATGGGGGGGTGGGTAGTGATTCACAGCGGGCAGAATGGAGTGGGCGGATGGCGAAAGTATTCATAGAACTTACTTCTACCTAATGACGCTACTTTGTTAAAAAGAAATGGCCTTGGGAACTAAGACAATTGGTAACTCAGATGAGGTGACTGGCTGTTGTTGAAAGCACCATTAGGCAAGGGAGAGGGACTTGTGTTGGCTCAATAATCCCTTAACTGTATCTCCCTAAGAAGATACAGTTCAGGTAATAACAGCATAGAAATAACCACAGTTGTCTAGAAGGGTGTACAGGTCAAATCCCGTTACTGCAGACCTCAGTGGTGTCTCCAAATTCCTTATTTGTCTCTTCCTATGAAGTAACAATATGTAGAATATCAGATCATAGAACTTGTTCTGTTCTTAGTGTCCTTTGGGGAGAGAAAGCACAAGAATTTAATCTTTGGGGGGCATTGTGGCCCCCTGGGTATCCTACCCAATGCTGTAGCCCGTCTCCCCACTTCTGGGGTCACAGACCTGGGTCTCCCCTCGCCAGGCTCCATTGCCCTTGGTCGCTCCTTGAGCTTCATGGTGCAGGAGTGTTTATTTAGTCCTGCCATCCACAAAGTGTTGTGAGCACCAGGATTTGTTGGGAAAGACCAACAGTAAAGAAAAGGTGGAGTCCCTGTTCATTAGGAATTTGTGGGCCACCGGGGAGGGGACGCTGGAGTGTAGGGCTGAGGCCACGCTGCAGTCAGGAGGGCGTTTTGCACTTAGGGAAGGAGTGAGTACCTACTCCTCCTCCCTAGGGTTTGTCCCGCCCCGCGTCAAGCCATCAGCAAGAGTAAAAAACTGTCTCTCTATATTTTCATTTTGTAGGTTTCATTGTAACGGGATTTAACCTGTAACATCTTTCCATCAGAGAAGTGCAGATTACACAAAAGAAAATCGCATATATCCCCCATTTGTGCTTGCTGCACTTTGTACAGAGTGCACTCACTGTGAGCTAAAGATATTACCAAGTACGTATAAGTGCAAGTCTTTGCAGATAACTTCATATGAACATTGTTTTGTTTACTTTTTATATTGAGTAAGCTGGAACATATACTGTTTGTACAGAACATACATTAAAATGTCTGTGGGAGATTATTTCCCTGTTGATGGATGGGAGTGGTCGCTCTGTATGGCTAGGTGTTTTGAATGGTGCTAGAGTAGCTGGTGGTGCTTAACGTGGCATTTTTTTTTTCCTGTCCACACTTTCTACCCTTGGTACAGGTATTTTTGATAAAGCTGTGGAATGGAAAGGTATGTTTTTCATGCGATGTTCAAGAATCTTTTACCTTAAACTTCTGTAAGAGCTTCCTTTATGGGCCTCCGTGTCTGACTTAAGCAGACTTAGTTTAATAAATTAAAGAACATCTTTCTAGGGGCAGTATTTGAGTATAAACTTTGACAGGACACGTAAGTTCCTCCCTTCCCCCTGTCTCCCGATTAAACACCGTGTGAAGGTTTTAGAGCACTTGGGTGGGGGTTGCTTTTAAGGGCTCAGATCTGCCGTGAGGGGCCGAAGCGGGCAGACAGCAGCTTGTGGAAGGTCAGGCTCCGGGTGCGTTCCTGACAGACTCCTGGTTACCGCTCACTTGCAATTTCATTGAGGAAAGGGGTGTAGAAGTCTCTCTCAATACGTTAACAGATGAAGTAAGTTTCGGGCCTGTATTAAATTGGCTCGGGCCTCTCTTGGGTGGAGAAGACTCCACGCTGAGCTAGTGGTGGCCCGACCAGCAGGCCTCCCCGCACGGGGCACCCTCGTCCACCCAGTGCTGACCGTCGGTGGCCACGGGCCTCGTGCCCCCGGCCTTGTGGGACAGTGTCTTCCTGGGCCGCTGCTGCCTCGAAAGACCCACCTGGCTAAACCGGTGAGCCGGCCGGGTGCCCACGGGAAGCTCCCTCCGCTGACTTTCCTCCAGCGATGAAATTGTAAAAGGTACCAGGGTGGTGGTGAGGTGGCGGCTGTGCGGACCCCACAGCGCCTCCCTTTTCTCCTAAAGCCGTGAGGCGCTTCCTCAGGTGTTGGTCCGAGTGTGGGACTCTGGTGGTGCTTTAGACTGTGCAAGAAATCCTTGTTTAAAGATCTGTGATGTCTTGTGCACCCTGACTGTTCTGATGGTTGCTGAGTGAGTGCCTGCTCAGCGTTCCCCATTTCACCGGAAGTGTTTGCTTTTTCTCGTTCGTAGCGGTCCTGTAATAAGGAGGGATCCGAACAAGCTCAGAAAGACAGTGAATTTCAAGTAAGTAATTCAGCCCACCCTGCGTCTGGTGTGAGGTGTGAGCTGGTGGTGGGCAGGGCAGCGCTGGGTGGACGAGGGTCCCTGTGCAGCAGGAAGCGGGCACGGGGTGTCCGCGCCTCGGCCCCGCTCTGGCTGTGCCCCTTCTGTCCCTGAGTCCTGGTTGTGTCCCAGAGGAGGGGCTCCGAGTACTGGGAGCCACCTCAGGAAGAGGCCGCGAAGAGCCCGTCTTCCCGGCTCCTGCTGAGGGTGTAGGGAGGGCTCTAGGGAGCTGAACGGCGCTTGGGCTGCGAGGAGGCAGCTTGGGTGGCCGGCGTGCGTGATGTTCCGACGTGGAGGCAGCCTGGCGTCCGTGCTGCCCTGACCCTGTCGTTGCCCAGGGGTCTCAGGGGCTGCCCGTCCCTGGGCAGGCGGGAGTGTTTTTCCCTCTGCACCGCAGGTGGACCCTTTACCGTCTGGGCCACCAAGGAAGCCCTCTCGCTGTGGTGCCCGGCTCCAGAGGCTGCTTCTGAACCGTGAGGTCTCACTCCCAGCAGTGTGTGTGCTCAGAGGAGCTTCAGGTCAGGAGCACCTGGCCCTGAGACTCAGAGGTGGGGAGCCCAGTGTCGTGTCCCCCACACTGCAGGGAGCGACTGTTGTGCAGCCCTCTCTCCCAGTGTGCGGAGATGTGTGTGCAGTGTGCACGCGCACACACGCTGTGGACCAAAGAAGTACCTGCATGCATGTGAATAAACTGGTTTTGTTCGTTGTGCACTTACTGTGGCATGCAGGATCTTTAGCTGTGGCATGTGAAATTTAGCTCCCTGACCAGAGATTAAACCTGGGCCCTCTGCATTGGAAGTTAGTCTTAGCCACTGGACTACCAGGGAAATCCCTCTCTTATTGTCTCTTATTGTGAAAAAAGTGGCTTAAAACTCAATATTCAAAAAAACGAAGATTATGGCACGCAGTCCCATTACTTTATGGCATCCAGTCCCATTACTTTATGGCAAATAGATGGGGGAAAAGTGGCAAGTGTCAGATTTCATTTTCTTGGGCTCCAAAATCACTGTGGATGGTGACTGCAGCTGTGAAATTAAAAGGGGCTTGCTCGTTGGAAGAAAAGCTATGACCAACCTAGACAGTGTATTATAAAGCAGAGACATCACTTTGCCAACAAAGGTCCGTCTAGTCAAGCTATGGTTTTTCCAGTAGTTGTGTATGAATGTAAGAGTTGGACCATGAAGAAGGCTGAGCACCAAAGAATTGATGCTCTTGAACTGTGGTGTTGGAGAAGACTCTTGGGAGTCCCTTGGACTGCAAGGAGATCCAACCAGTCCATCCTAAAGGAAGTCAGTCCTGAATATTCATTGGAAGGACTGATGCTGAAGCTGAAGCCCCAATACTTTGGCCACCTGATGCGAAGAACTGACTTATTAGAAAAAGACCCTGATGCTGGGAAAGTTTGAGGGACGAGGAGAAGGGGAAGACAGAGGATGAGATGGTTGGATGGCATCACTGACTCAATGGACATGTGTTTGAGCACACTCCAGGAGATAGTGAAGGACAGGGAAGCCTGGCGTGCTACAGTCCATGGGGTCGCAAAGAGTCGGACACAACTTAGCAACTGAAGAACAGCAGCAATACTAATTATTAAAATGATCAAGAAATAGGAATTTAAGAGAGCTGAGATTATAATGGAATAAAAGTATTGACATTCTTTCTCGAGTTTCCATGGATCTTCTTCCTGGGCCCAGCTCCAAAGACTGGAGGGTCTGGACTGTATGCTCTCAGGGGAGACCCTGACTGAGCCGCTGTCGGGGGGGATGTAGCTGATGTTCTATCTTCAATCTCCTGGGCCTTTGCGTCCAGACCTCTGTCTATACTGGGATTGAAACTGTTGGGTCACTAGGCTCTCTGTGACACTGAACCGAAATGTATTTTCAGTTCTTGTTTCACCTTGACTTCTTAGCAGCCAAGGGGCCAGGACTCGGGCACCAAACGAAGGCCCTCCCTTTACTCCATCCCTTCCTTGCTTTCTTTCTGGGCTCGTTCTCCTATTGTCTTTTTTCCCCCACTCAGTATTTATTTATTTCTTTGGCTGCACCGGGTCTTACTTGTGGCACACAGGATCTTTAGTTGTGACATGTGACCAGGGATCAAACCTGGGCCCTCTGCATGGGGAATGTAGGGTCTTAGCCACTGGACCACTAGGGAAGTCCCTCTCCTCTTGTCTTAAGTACTCGAAATCCCCAGGCCCGACGCCCTATCCCTCCCCACTCTTCCAGACCACCTGGTCCAAAGCTGGTCCTTCGTTTCTCCTGGAGGCCAGGGATCTGTAGCTCTTCCAGCCAGTGGAACTAACCCCAGCTGCTCCCTGTGTCCCAGGGTGTCTCACCAGGTCCAAAACTGAACCCACATTCTCTTTCAGTCCATCCTTTCTGGGCAGGCCAGAAGCAGGAAGTCACCTCGTCACTCTTCTCCCCTCACCCCATGTCCCACTCACAACTCTTGGTTGTTTTCCTTTGAACCAGACCTTGGATCTGTAAGTTTCTCTCCACCCAGGCTGTGAACCTGGCTAGTCCAAGCTGCCCCAGCTCCCCTCAGGGCTCCCGCTTCCACTCTTGTTGCCCACAGACCATTCCCTTCGTCATCACCAGAGCCATATTTTTGAACTGCTCATCTGATCGTGTCGGCCTCTCGCTGACACAGTCCTTTGGTGATCACTTTCTCTCCTGATCCAAGTTAGGTGAGCTTTATCCTACCAGGTCCGGGAGGCCTGACCCCACGGAGCTTCCTGGACAGATTTTCACCCAGGGCCCAGCAGACAGCAGTAGTTGGTGCTGTTTGTTTATGATCCCCTTGGGTCAGAAGGTGGGCAGTCGGTGGTCAGAACAGGGAAGGTGGTTGGTCTTTGAGCCTCTTTGAATGGCTGGCCTTTTTCTCCTCTCCCTCAAACGTGCAGGAGGCCGACTCCATTTCTGCTTGGGGGCCTGCGAGCCTGGTTGGCTCACTTCCCTGGCCTGCAGTGGCGGTGTGTCCCACCTTCTTTCCTCTTCAGACTCCCCCCTGCCCCCCACCACCAGGGAAGCACTGTTGTTATCTTCTCAGGAGGGTCATGGACAAAGTGGAAAGACAGTCTCACATGTCCCCCGCCCCCTGGGGCCCCTGCCGCCCCTTCTGCTCCTCTGTCCCAGCTGCATTCTGAGCCCTGTCCCCATGGCTTCCGGAACCACTCTCGGTTTTGCTGCCAGCGACTCATGTGGCCAGATCCAGTGGCCACTTTCCTCTGCCCCCTGTTCACCGTCAAACACCGCTGCCCCGTCCTGACAGCAGGCGTCTCCCCTCCCCCACCGCCCCATCTCCGTCCGCTTTCATGGGGTGGGCTGTAAACCTCCACTGGGGCGTCAGATGTCAGCCTTCGGTTGCTTCCTTAAGTGAACTAGAGTAGGAAATGTTAGCGTTGCCCAGCTGTGAGCATGTATGGTTTGTTTCAAGCGTGTGTGTACGTGTGTGTGCGCGTGCGCACACTGGCTTGCCATGTACAGTATGAAAGCGTTGCTGCAAACGTGGGGCGTCCTCAGGCTCCATGCTGCTTCCTCCTCTTGGGCCAGTTCATGTAATGCTCTCTGGACGCCAAGGGCTATCTGGCCCAGACCCCTGGGCAGCCCCAGGGGCTCCTCCGGACTGGTTCCGTCCTCTTCCTCCTGGGTTCCTCTGCTCCGCACATCGGCCCCTCCCGGGGTCCGCATCTCTCCTTGAGGGTGGCCACCGCCCTCACACTCCGTCAGGATGCCCTCTGCTCCTTCCCTGCGTGTGCCCCAGTCTGCCGATGGCCCTGCTCACTTGTGGCTGCTTCTGTCCCTGGAAGGCAGGCGCCGTCCAGGCAGTGGCCACGTATGTCCAGTTCTTGTTTCCGTGGGGCTGGAGTATATAAATGTGTATTTCTGAAGCCAGCGTGAATCGTTTCCAGTGGAGGTATTGCCTTCTCTCCTGAGAAAGCAGGACCAGCTGTGGGTGGACAGTCAGAGTCCAGCCCAGGTGATCGGCAGCGGATCGGGCCACGGCCCTCACACCCATGTTTCCCTGGGTGTGCTTTCCTTGAAGGTTTGGAGACCCGAGGTTACCTGCTGTGGTTCCGGGACTTGGTGTGTTCTTTCATTTTCTCCCTCTCCAGACTCTTCCCTCTGCTTCTCCTGGCTGTGAATAAATGCTGACCTATGACATCACAAGAAAGCAGAGGTATTTCTTGTTCACAGTGTGCAGAGCAATGCCAAGGAGAACTGGGACACTCCAAAGTCTCTTCACTCTCCTCTGCCGTCCTGGCGCTGGTTGCCTCTGCTCAGGAGGGTGCTGACGGTGTGGGCTCAGCCTGGGGCAGGAGCACCGGCGACAAGGGTGAAGGCAGCTCCCGCTCTCTGCACGGACTGGGTGCCACGAGCAAAGCCCTGAACTTCCTGAAGTCATGGCGTGGGCTAAATCCGTGTCTAGATCTAGATATTTCAGACAAAAAGGGCCATTTCTGATTGGGTGCACGTGTCTCCAGTGCCCTCCAGCTTAGTTACTCTACACAAAAAAAGTTGAAAAACCTAACTTTAATTCTCACAGAATTCTGGCTACCTAGGACAGAGGATACCCTGGTCCTGCTCTTGGAAACAGTTGGGAGGGGGTTGGATCTTTGAAGTGGGAGGTTGTACAGAGGGCAAGGGGCTGCCAGGAGCCACTGCCTGTGGATGGCCTTCTCCGGGCCTGATCCCAGCACCCCCTTTCCACGATGCGAGCCTCCATTTCGCTTGCAGGGTGTCTCTGAGGCTGGACTTGAGGTGAACAGGCCCACGCTGACCATACCTCCTGCCGAGGTTTGCTGTGAGGTCAGATGACAGAGAGAAAACATTCTGCCAGTTCAGTAGAGCTGTTAGGAATTTGTTGTCATTCTGTAAGGGTTTAAGGAGTAGAACCTGTCTGGTAGAAATCCTCCTCAAATCCGTGAACCTGACAGATCGATGCTGTGTCTGGATGGTGGTGTCTTCATCTGCTTGGACTGCCAGGAAAAACCCCAGGTTTACTGTTCATGGTTCCGGAGGTTGGCGGGCAGGGTCAGGGTGCCAGCACTCAGCTGGGTTCTGGTGATGGTCCTTTCCTGGCTTGCAGATGCCGTCTTCTGCCTGTGCCCTCACGCGGCAGGGAGAGAGAGAGAGAGGGCCTGGGAGAGGGTACACGCTCTCTGGAGTCCCCTCTTAACAAGGATGCTGATGCATTAGGGCTCCGCCCTCTAAAACTAATCTAAACTCAGCCTCATCTAAACTCAGCACCTCCCAAAGGCATCTCCAGATAGCATCTCACTAGGGGTGAGGGTGTGAACGAACCTAGGAATTTGGGGAGGATGCAGTTTGGTTCGTTGCAGTCATATGTACAGAACTGCAGGTTAGTGGGATGGGGCCTCTCAAGGTGGTGATGGTTAGACTTGGCAAGGTGGTGATATCGTAACTCACAAGGTGGTGATGGTCAGACAGTCGTGGGGATTACACGAGGTGGTGGATGGATTACCCAGTCCACCAAATATAAAAGTGACTGGGTCACCTTTTACCTTAATTTGTGTCCCATATCCTTTGAAAGCAGTTTGTCCTTTTTGTTTTTTTATCGCCAGCCTCAGAATCATGTCTCTGCCTGGTGAGTTTGTCCTGTGAAGTCTCTCCATCTGCTTTGGTAAAATGAGTGTATTTTAAAGCTGTGTTCTATGTGAGCAGTAGTCCTCTGAGATCCTGTCCACGCAGCCCCTTTCTGAACAAGGGGTGACAAGGCCACCCCTGAGTGTTCCCAGACCACACCTGCCGCCCTCCTGGCACGTCAACCTAGAAGCTCCACCTGCAGCAGCTCCTTCGGAGAGCTGGGTGTAGGGCTCCTTCCCACCTGTCCGCCCCAACAGCTGGAAACTTAAGCTATGATTTGCTGCTGAAGGGAAGAGGACTAAGGAATGGATTTGAATTGAGAACAAAAGATGGATTTTGAAGGCAGAATGACTCTAGATCCCACTTAGTTATTAGGACTAATGGCAGAATGTAGCAGCGTCTGTGACTTGGTGTGTTCTTTCATTTTCAAACTAACATTAAATGACAGGATTGGGAGTAAAAGCAGAAAACAGAAACCTTGGTTGCTTTATGCTCCAGTGCAGAGCAGGTCTGAACCAGTAATCCCAGACATAGCTTCCTGGGCGGAGGGCCCTTTGCCTATTTACTCTCACTGGGTGCTATCAACCGAAAAGCAAATTAACCTTCACCAGGACGGGTGAACTGTGCGGCCTTTGATGAGATGCCAAGGGTGAGACTAAATTGAAGTGGTAAACTATTGATACTGTTCTATTTTTGGAACCAGTGACCTAAATTCAACTAGAATTTTGACTCTCATCAATAGAGTGTGATGCTTACCAGCATCCTAGTGTTAGTCATTCAGATGTGTCTGACTCTTTATGACCCCTTGGACTATAGCCCACCAGGCTGCTTAGTCCATGGAATTCTCCAGGCAAGAATACTGGAGTGGGTTACCATGTCTTACTCCAGAGGGTCTTCCCAACCCAGGGATTGAACCTGCATCTCTTTTGTCTCCTACACTGGCAAGGGGGGTTCTTTACCACTGAGCCATCTGGGAAGCCCTTGCCAGCATGGATCCTGCAGTTCACCAGTCTGTTTCTTCATATTTAAAGTAGGGGTGATGATGACAACAAGTGTCGTATTAATAACAACAGTGGTAGTCACAGCACCCAGTCACAGAGTCGCTGTGGGAGTAGATGGACGGCTCAGGTGAAAGGGCTTCTGGCGTGTGGCTGACCCGGTAACCATCTGCATGCCACCGTGTGTTTCAGGGTGCCGAGGCCATGGTCCTGGAGAGCGTCATGTTTGCCATTCTCGCCGAGAGGTCGCTGGGGCCGAAGCTCTTCGGCATTTTCCCCCAAGGCCGCCTGGAGCAGTTCATCCCAGTAAGGAGTGCGGGGGCACTGGTCGGGGCTGGGGGAGGCCCACAGAGAAGGCGCAGTCTATGTCATCACCGCAGGAGCCCGGGCACCGTGATCCGAAATAGTGTGGCCTGTGTTACCACAGAAGGAAACAAAAGCAGGATTTCTATTGAATTTGCATCAAAACCTCTGTCTTTCCTGCAAAGATACATTCATCCAAATCAAAACACACAGCCAGACCTTGTTTAACTGAGCTCTGCAGATACTGCGTATTTTACGAATTGAAGGTTTGTGGTGGCCCTGTACTGTCAGACAATGGTTAGCATTTTTGAGCAATAAGATATTTTTTAATTAAGTCGCTATGGGACTCTTCGACATAATGTTATAGCCACTTAATGCACTGTAGTATAGCGTAAGCATAGCTTTTGTACATGCTGGGAGATGAAAACATCAATGTGACTTGCTTTGTTGTGGCATCACTGTGACTTGGTGATCTGGGACCGATCCTGGTATCTCCAGGTACAGCTGTTCATGGAACCTGGCACTGCATCACCCTCTAAAGCTGCTTGCCTTGGAACCAAGCCTGGTCACCCAGGTCTCATCTCGCTGGCCCTGGTCATAGAACCACTGCAGGAGGTGGTCCTGGCCACACTGACACGTGTCTTTGCCCTGCAGGGGCGGGGCCACTGCTGTTCCCCTCCTTGTCTCCAGCTGCCTGCTTTACTGTAGAGCCTCCCCTGCCCCCATGTGCCTGTCGGGTCCTTCACGTGGCCAGGCCTGGCTCCGATCCCGGTTCCGAGAGTCAGGGCCACGCGCCTGTTCTCCCTGTGCTGGCCCGTCGTCAGTGTCACCTTAACGTCTGCCGGTCAGGGTCGTGGGCACGGTCCCCGCCCAGAGCTGCTGGGTGCCAGGCTGCCCGAGGGCAGGAGCGGGAAACGCTTCCGGTCAGCAGCTGCCTTGAGCGTCGCGCCTCGCGGGCCAGCTGTGCAGGCGGAGGGGCAGAGCTGGATGCAATCCCGTCGTAAACTGTTGGAGACGCGCCCAGCGTGTTGCACCCGGGGAAGAGGCCCCCTTCAGCATGGGGTGGGGCCACTGGAAGGCAGGCCTGGGGTGCTACGACTGTACGTGGGAAGGACGTTCTCTCCAAGAAGTGGACCTTTGCAGGTGGCCTGCCCCTCCCTGAGCAGTGCTATCTGTGGGCACGGTGCCCTTTCAGGAGGAATTGTTCCCTGGACAAGGCTGAGATGCCCCCAAAGAGACTCTAGGTCTAGGGTCATGTGACCCCACATGTCAAGTTTACCTGGATAAATGCCATCTTTTCACTCCTCTTTTATTTCAGAGCCGGCGATTAGAAACTGAAGAATTAAGTTTGCCAGATATTTCTGCAGAAATAGCTGAGAAAATGGCCAGATTTCATGGTATGAAAATGCCATTCAATAAGGAACCAAAATGGCTCTTTGGAACAATGGAAAAGTAAGTGGTCGGGCGCTCAGCTCTCCCGTGGCTTTCCCCAGGGCTCCTCGAGTCTCCGGAGCGGTTCTTGTTTGCCCTGAGGGTCAGAGGCCTTTCTCAGTCCCCCGGCACACAGGCTGTCTGCTGGCACTTATGGTCTCATGAATAAATCATTCTAGCGTGTAAAAATCAGTTCCTGAGCCATGAAAGAGTGTTTGCAGAAATGCTCCTGAACAGGCTGGGTGGCCAGAAAATCAACTTCCTAGACTCTGGGGTCGGGGACCCTGCAGATCCTGCATGGTCTCTTGAGTGGGAGCCCCGAGCCGAGGTCACGGTGAACTGAGCCCTGATCCTTTGCTTCCCTCTCTTCCAAGATACCTGAATCAAGTGCTGAGAATTAGATTTACGGGGGAGTCCAAAGTGAAGCAGCTGCACAGGTTCCTCAGCTACAACCTGCCTTTGGAGCTGGAAAACCTGAGGTGAGTGTTTGCTTCCATGTCCTGCCTTGGTGAGCGCATCTGCCCAGACAGGGCAACGCTCTGAGTCACTGCGTCTGCTGCCAGGCAACACTGCAAGCATCGTCTCAGGCCTGGTGTCTTACGTGGGGTTGGTGGGGTGAGTTTAAACAGGTTAATTCTGCCGTCTCAATTTTACATGAGCGGCGTCACCTTCCTCTGATCATTCATGAAGGTTTCACGGAGGAGGTAAAATGCCAGAATTCCAGGCCCGGTCAGTGACTAGGGCAGTAGGTTTTTTCTGAAACAAAAACAAAAAGCAAGAACCCTTGGGACAGGCCGGAGGGTGTCAGCAGACGAGGGATACAGTTGAGCCCAAGCTTGGGAGGGCACGGAACAGGAAGCTTGACACAGGTTTCTGAGTAGAGACTATAGGGGTATCCCTAGGCTGTGGGGCGTGCAGGGTTCTAGACTCTCACCCATAGCTGAGTGTCAGTATTTCCATCTTTCATTTCTCACAAGTTTGAGCATCTGCTGTACCGACATCAGGAATGGCTCCGAGCTATTATGACCAAGACATACTGCAGGGAGCGTCTCTTTTGTTAGGAGAGAGAGGAGACAAGTAAATAAAATAGTGTCAGGTTGTGATGAGCGCTATGAAGGAAACCAGAGGCCCAAACAGACCCAACACAGGGCTCTGCTTGGGCTCCGTGGTCAGAGGGCTCTGAGGAGGAGGCCCCCCACCCCCGGGCAGGGAGCATGTGCTCAGAGGCCCTGCCAGGGGAGGGAGCTGCAGGTCTGAGAAGTAACAGCAGAACCTTCCTCTCCCAGGTCATTGCTTGAATCCACTCCATCTCCCGTCGTGTTCTGTCACAACGACTGTCAGGAAGGTAAGAAACGCTGCCCGTGGTGCAGAACCTGGGCCCTGTGTGTCTGCTTAGAAGGTTCGCTCCAGTGTGTGTGATAACCGCCAGGGGCCCCTGAGGGGGGGGTGAGATACATGGATTTATGGCCCAGCCGTGCATGTGTATTGTGCGACTATTAAAATAATGAGGTTGAGTTCTATACAGACCAACAGAAAAACCTCCGGAAGCAGAAAGAGCAAGTTTTAGAAAAATATGTAAGATCATCCTATTTCCGTAAGAAAAAATTCTGAGAGGATCCACTAAACCGAGATCTGGGATCGACAAAGCTACATATTTGTGTAGTGTTTAACTCCTTTTGGTCAACATGTGACCTTGTTGATGTGAAGAAGCATTAAAGAGCAAGGTGGCCTCCTCAACCAGCCCGGGGGCCCAGGCCTCTGCACCTTGCGTGTACTGCACTGGCTAGAGCCCCTGCTCTCTCAGCGCTGGTTCAGGTGCTTCTAATGACCTTGGGTTTCTCCTCTTTGAAAAACTGCAGGAACTTATCTGATGATCCAGTGGCTAAGGCTCCACACTCCCGATGCAGGGGGCCCGGGCTCAGTCCCTGGTCAGAGAGCCAGATCCTGCATGCTGCAGCTAAGACATAATATAGTCAAAGAAATAAATTTGTTTTTAAAAGCTATTAAAATTTTTTTAAAAATTGCAATGCCAGGTACTGCTGACTGTAATCAAACTTCACTCAGTGTCATTTCAAACCGAAACAGTTTCCTCCGAGGCCCCATCTGGCGGGCTTCCCTCTCCGACACTGCCGTGGCACCTGGCTCTGCCGTGCTGTCCTCATCCTGATCTTCCCAGAAGAGCTGGCTGAGGTCCACCCTTGGGCCCTTTCCAGGCTCTTCAGGTTGTTTTTAATTTTGAGAACATCCCCTGGTGAAGACTTGTCATCAATGAGATGTCAGTTTGAGCCAGAATACCTTTTACTAATTAACTGATGACTGCTGGACAAGTCAGATTGGGCAGGGTGTGGGAAGGCAGCCTCGTGTGTAGGATGCCTTGAGCGGATCAGAACCACTCTTGGCCCAGCTCTTGGAGGACCTGCATCTTCGGTGACGGAACATGCCCAGAGTAAACGTCATGTCATCCAAACCCTTCTGCAGGTAACATCTTACTGCTGGATGGCAGGGAGAATTCCGAAAAACAGAAACTCATGCTCATCGATTTTGAATACAGCAGTTACAACTATAGGTAATGTCAAATGTTTTTATTTCTGTGAGCATTTTAATACGTGTATGAAACAGTTGAAGGAGATCTTGGGTCACGGTACCACCCTGAGCTGCGAGTTTCCTCGCTGGGGGCTGGCACTTTCTGTCCCAGTGGATGAGATGGGCACTTAGCCTGTTCTCAGTCGAGCTAGTGAGGAGCAGCCCCGGGCTCCGAGAGTCCAGAGCTTGGCCTGACATTGGCTCCTCAGAGCGCTGACCGCAGAGGGGCTCCCGAGCAGTTGCTCCGGACGATGGGGCTGCCCAGTTGGCGGGCCTGTCGCTGACGCAGTCGTGTTCTCGGGGCCCTGCGGTCCGGGGAGGGCTCGTGGCAGGCCTGCTGCCTCATTCTCTGCCTGTCACTATTTTTCAGGGGATTCGACGTTGGGAATCATTTCTGTGAATGGATGTATGATTATAATTATGAAAAGTATCCTTTTTTCAGAGCAAACATCCTGAAGTACCCTACCAGGAAGCAACAGGTAGGCGCCTCATGCATGCACACTTGCTGAGAAGTGAGTGACTCATACATATGTCGGTTTACCCAGTTAGAGTTGACTGCAGCTTCACTTCTAAAGATGCTTGTTTTGGTTAAACAGGTCCTTTTGCTTTAAAATGTTGTGTTGAGATACAAACAGTACTGGAGTCCAGCCTTTTAAAGTCCTTTGCCAGAGGTGGCCTGTAGCCAGTCAGAGAGGACCACAGTCTCCTTGATAACTCCTTCCAGTTTTTTCTGCCCTGCCCTCTGGCCTTTTGGGGGTCACTGACTTTCCTCTGTGTTTCACTCTGCACAGACAAAGGTGGTCTTGGGGGCACTGACTCAGCAGCTGTTGCAGCACCCACAGCCCCCTTTTCTGTCCTGAGTGAGAGGAGTCCAGTGACTGGAGTCAGTCCTGTGGGACTTCTCCCGGGAAGCTCTCTGTTCTATTCGTAAGCCATGGCCCAAGCCTTGGGTTGAGGATGAGTAAGTTGCGATGTGGAAGCAAGCAGGCTGGGCAGAGGGGACACCACCCCAACTCTCCCAGCCTTGCAGGGCCTCAGCTCTGTCTGTGCTGGGCAGCCCTGCTTTAGGTCAGCCTTCTCCCAGGAGCCCTGCCTGATCAAAGCGTTGCCCAGGGGCTGGGGGCGAGGACACAGATGGTCAGTTGCTGCAGTAGCTCACTCAGGAGAGGCTTCTCGAGTGCCCGCCTGAGCTGGGCACAGGCATTGTCTCCAGCAGGTGCCCATGCTCAGGGGCAGCCATTGAAACACTGTGCAGCCAGAGCTGGGCCGCTTCCCTCTGGCCATGTTTCAGGCTGACCTGATGACCTTGCTTATGTCCAAAGTGGCCAGGATGGTTTGGAACCTCAGGGCCATGCTCTGTGGGCAGGAAGGCTGGTGAGCCCATGGAGGGCAGCACATAGCAGGCTTCAGGTTCCTGCTGTGACACTGGGCAGCTGTCTCCAGAGAGGGAGCTCTGAAACCAGTAAGGGGAGATTGTCAGTAAGAAGAAGGATTGCATTCTAGTGGAGGCAGAGCTGTGTGGCCATCCTCACTGCACAGTGGTGGAAAGGCACGGAAGTGCCGTTTCTGTTTTCTGAGAGGTTTTAACAATCACATGCTGTGTCCGGCTTGGCCACCTACCCTGTCACCATCTCCGGAGGTCATCTCATGCTTTTCTCTCTTGAGTGCATTGAGGTGTTTTAAAATGTTAAACGATACTGGAATTCCTAAAATAAATTATTTGAGTGAGTTATGTTATTTTGCGATGCTCGGTTGGATCCAGTTAGGCAGTTTCTTATTTTCGCGGTTTTTATGTATGTGAAACAGGACTTCAATGTTCATTTAAAAAATTATTCATACCTGCTTTTGGAATAAAAAATTATGCTAGTTTACATAATTGAGTGTCCCTTTTTATTTTTTGGAGCAAATTTTCATAAGATGGTGCTGTTTGAAAGTTTGGTAGACTTTGCCCATAAAACCATCTGGGCCTAGAACTTTTTTGGGAGGGAGAGCCACTAATTACCACTTTGTTAGGGTTTCCGTCTCTTCAAATTTTCTATCTTCATTTGCTACCTTCAGCATTTAGAGTCTCCCAGAAATCAACCATCTAGGGTGGTGGTTCCAGCATGGGCTTTAAAAACTAATAGGCCTGGATTTGAATCCCAGGTCTGCCACTGCTGGTTTTGACCTGCTGTTTCCATGCTTCAGTTTCCTCATCTTGTGGAACTTACTGTGTCTTGGGAGTGAGTTACTGTGCGGAAACGATGCTCAGCTTGGTGCCTGGCACACAGAGTTTAATAGGTGTCTTGTACCAAGTTCACTGCAGAATCCACGGCCCCCAGCCTGGAACAGGGGTAGAACGTGAAGGATGCTTTCCGATGGAGGAAGGGCAGAGTGTGGGAAGCTGATTTCAGAGCAGGAGGATGAAAGAGAGGCAGGTTGGGGAGGGAGAGGTACTGGTTACTTCTAGCCGGGTAACCAGTTAGCAGGGGTTCCTACCTGGAAGAAAGACTGATGGCTGTTTTCTTCTTCACAAAAGCAAACTGCAGTGGTTGGCCATGTTCTGTCACCTTTTGATACAGTATGAAATAGTGAAGCACAGGGACTCTGAGAAATCCGAATTCACACGCAGACCCATGGTGCCACCTGGTAGAACATCAGGGTAAACCGTGTCTCCTCTGGACTGGAATCAGACGCTGCTAGTGCACGGACGTGAGTGTGTAGATAGTCAAGGCATCTGAGAGGTGGAAAAAGGCCCCTTCTCAGCGCCCGGGCCAGCTCCTGCCCTGAGGGAGTATTTACTGGTGAAGGTCAGGGTGCCCTGGCGCCTCAAGCCCATGCCACGTGGAGTGCCATCCAGGCTGGGGGGTGTGCTGTTGGCTGGCCTCGCTTTGTGGGCAGACAGTGGGAGACAGGAGTGTGGGTAAGAGGAGAAGAGCGACTCTACCTAAACAACCCTCTGCAGAAGTAGTAGTGGTCTCGGCGACAGTACAGCCTGGAGAGTCCTTTCTTCTCTGTCACCCCGGCACCCCAACGGGGTGGGTGAGCTCCCTGGATCCCTGCCCCTGGGCAGAGGAGCGTGTGGGCTTCTCTGACATCTGGAAGAGTCACGCGAGATGTCCACTGAGTGACAACTTTGACATCATCTATTTTTAACCATCATTGATCCTAATGTCATTACTTTTTTTTAAAGCTCCATTTTATTTCCAATTACTTGGCTGCATTCCAAAATGAATTTGAAAACCTCAGCAATGAAGAAAAGTCTGTTATAGAAGAAGAAATGCTGCTTGAAGTCAATAGGTAACTTTTCCTTTGTTGATCTGTCACAATAGCTTCCTTCAAGGTGCGAACTTGGGATGCTTCCTTGCAAATAAGAGTATTTTAGGAGCTTCCTCATAACCCTACATCTATGAGTCTTGTAGTTTGCCCAAAAAAAACACCAGACCATTTGGTTCTGGCCCACGTGGCTGAGTGTGTTAGGATCCTTCAGCTCTCAGCACACGGCAAGTTAGGAGAGGGGTCTGTGCACAGGGTCAGTGCGTGGGGTGGCGTTCCGAGCCGTCATCCCCACCACAGACCCCGCTGCCCAGCCCCTGCCCCCAGGGCCCGTGCCCTCCCGTCACTCATGCTCCTGGAGTGGGGGCTCCATCAGGTAATACGAGGAAATAACCGAACGTCTGTGTCCTGGGCAGCTCTTGAAGCAAGGCTGAGAAACCCCCAGATTCCACAGAAGTCTAGAGCACGGTGTTTTCACCCTCTCTCATCTCTTTAGTGGAGAAGCCCGAGTTACCCCTAGCCTCTGGGCTCTCCCGTGAGATTCCGTGGTACCAGGGATGGCTGGAGTCCCTGTGACCTCCCTCCCTTGGCACAGAGCCCCCTCCTCGCAGGCCTCAGAAGTGTCCAAACTCCTCTGTCTGAGCTGTGGCCACCGCGGTGGCCCCTCAGCTCCTCCTGCAGCAGAGAGCTTCCCTCTCTGGCTCCTGAACAGATGGAAATAGGAAGCGGGTTATGGAGGAGAGGCCCAGACAGAATGGTGGTGCCAGGGATCCAGTGGGTCAGGGGCAAGAGCAGCAGAAGCCCCAAAGCGCTCATTCCCGAGTGAGAGCTCATCTTCATTGTTGGAGGGGAGTATGGGTTCGCGGTGGCGAGAGGCATGGCACAGCCTAGAGGTGGGACCTGGCCACACCTCCCCCCAGTCCACCTCCGGGGCAGGAGGGACGGGACCGGCAGCAGGTTCCCCGGGTCCGGGCTGTCCGCCTATCGCTGGTGTGCGCTGGGGGCCACTGGTGCCCACCTACGTGCAGAGGGTTTCATTCCTCGTGTGAGCCCTGTTTCACCAGCACGGCCACCAGGGCCCCCGCGTGGGTCCTGTGAGTGTTGGCCCATGTGCCCGACATGGGACGGGCTGTCAGGGCTTCACCCCTGCAGGGCCGCCGGCTGGGGGCGGGGACGGCTGGCCGAGGGCTCCCGCCACCCTTGCTGGGGCATGTCGTCCCCTGCACCCTGCCGAGTCAGAGCACCCCGCCGGGCAGGGAGTGACGTCCTGGGCCCTGTCTCACTGCACGTCCTGCTTCTGTCATTACAGGTTTGCCCTTGCATCCCATTTCTTCTGGGGACTCTGGTCCATCGTTCAGGCCAAGATTTCCTCCATTGAATTTGGGTACATGGTATGTGTTGCAGGTGGTTTTTCTCTTCTACTCCCAGGGGAAATGCATCCTTGTACACGAGCACCTGGCAGTACATGGCTCTTCCTTCCAGAGGGTCATCCGTTCCCCTCCATGTACCTGTGCCAGGTGACCAACACCGGGACTGCGGGCTCCCCCGGCCGCATAATGGAAGCCCCTGTTGCGGGTGCGGAGTCTGCCTCTGGAGCTGCCCTCCCTTCCCGGGCCCGCAGTCCCCACCTCCCTGCTTCAGGTCCTGTGATTCGGATGTTGGATGTAGAAATCCGGCCCCTCAAGACCCATCCCCGACCTCAGTCCCCCTGACGGGGAGGGGCCTGTGCCTCCCACGCCTTAGTTTATTCATCTCTTCCCACCCCATCCTCCGGCCTGCAGTGCCCGGCCTAAGAACTGGAAGCTGAATGAATTAGACCTCTTTTTGCAGCAAGTTTTGTAGCATACTAGGCTGTCTTTTTATTCTATCCTGAGAACTGTGCTTGGCACAGACCCTGCATTTGACTCCGCTCCGTAGTGAGTGGTGGGGGTGTCCTGGGCAGGAGTGCTCCCGAGTGCAGCGGCACCTGGCTTTGGCACTTGTGGTGGGAAATGGCCGGTTCCTTTTGTCCTCAGTCCACCGTGAGGATGGTTTCTGCTGATGGGCAGAAGCTTTGGCAACACACAGACGCTCGTAAACAAGAGAACATTCAGGTTTTTTAAAGTGGATTTGGAGTCATGACCAGATGTTACTGTAAGACCGAGTGGACTTCAGAACAGGACCACTGAAGACAGAGAAAGGGGTTGCATCCTAGAACAGGTGTCATTTCACCCGTGGGACACAGAGGTCCTGAGTGTGTGTGCCCCTGTCTTCTTCAGGAGACACAGGGCAGGAGCTTTCCTGGTGGTCGGTGGTTAGGACTCCGTGCTTCCACCACAGGGGACATGGTTTCAGTCCCTGGTCAGGGAACTGGAATCTCACGTGGCTCACAGCATGGCCAGAACGAAAGTCATAGAGCAGAAACTGACAAAGCTGAAAGAACAGAGGGGCTCCTTCACCTGGTAGGCTGCTCCCCTGGCGATAGCAGGTGGAGCCAGGAGCCCTGCCGCAGGGATGTCTGACGTCTGAACAGCACCCCAGCCAGCTCGACCTGACGAACATGTGCGGAGCCCCAGTGGCTGCGGGACACACTTCCTTTTCAGAGAATGGGGAGCCTTCATCAGGATAGGCCACGGGCTGGGCTGTGAGCCCTCACATTTGCTGCAGAGTAAGTTCTCTGACCACAGTGCAATTTAATTGGAAATCACCAATCACCACAAAAATATCTGGAAAATTCTTTTTGGAAATTAACTGTATACTTCTAAATAAACCCTAGGTCAAAGGAGAAATTAAAAGGACAATTAGAAAACATTTTAATTGAGTTATAATGGAAACACCATTTTTTTAGAAGAGGAAAAAGTGGAAGCAGCGATAGATTTTGTTTTCTTGGGCTCCAAAATCTCTGTGGATGGTGATTGTAGCCATGAAATTAAAGAAGACACTTGCTCCTTGGAAGGAAAGCTTTGACAAACCTCGACAGTGTCTTAAAAAGCAGAGACATCACATTGCTGACAAAGGTCCATATAGTCAAAGCTATAGTTTTTCCAGTAGTCGTGTACAGACATGCATGTTGGACCATAAAGAAAGCTGAGCACCAAGGAATTGATTCTTTTGAACTGTGGTGTTGGAGAAGAGTGTTGAGAGTCCCTTGGACAGGAAGGAGATCCAACCAGTCCATCCTAAAGGAAATCGGTCCTGAATGTTCACTGGAAGGGCTGATGCTGCAGCTGAAACTCCCATACTTGGCCACCTGATGTGAAGAACAGACTCGTTGGGAAAGACCCCGATTCAGGAAAAGACTGAAAACAAAAGGAGGAGGCAGCAGAGGATGAGCTGGTTGGAGAGCGTCACCAACTCAATGGACATGAATCTGAGCAAACTCTGGGAGATGGTGGAGGACGGAGAAGCCTGGCGTGCTGCAGTCCATGGGGTTTTAAAGGACATGGCTTAGCGACTGAACAAGAGTGGAAACACAACATCCTAGAATTTGTGGGATGCAGTTAAAACAGTGTTTGAAATCTTTTGGTTTTGTAGCTTAAACGTTTGTTCTGGGTAAGAAGAAAGTTCTCAAACTAGTAACATAAGCTTCTACCTTGAGAAGCTAGAAAGTGAAAAACCAATTAAAGCCAGAGTATATAGAAGTAGAATAAAGGTAAGAGCAGAAATCATTGAAATATAAAATATTAAAAATAGAGAAAAAAAATCAATGATACCACAAAAGTATTTTAAAATATCTGGCTATACTGAGCAAGAAAGGAGAAGGCAGACATTACCAAAACCAGGTACAGAGAGAGGCCATCCTCATAAAGTCGGTAGATGTTAAAGTACAAGAATGAGAAACAACTCTGTCTGCAGATCTGACGACTTGCTTGAAACGTGCCAATTTCTTGGAAGATAAAAATGGCCAAAACTGACATCATAAATGGCCATGTATTTATTAAATTGAACTGATAATCAAAAACATGTAGACTAAACTTCAGGTCCTGGTGAATATTATCAAACATTTAAGGAAGAAATAACAGTCTAACAGAAGCTTTTAGAAAATAAAGGGGGAGGGATCATTTCTCAGCTCATTTGACGAGACTAGCATGACCCTGACACCAAAACTAGACATTTCAAGAAGACTACACATCAGTGCCCTTCATGGACATCACCCAAAAGCCTTTACCAAAATACTGGCAAAAGTAAATCCAATATGTATAAAAGGATAATTATTGTATGACCAAGTGGCATTTATCACTGAAATGCAAGACTGCATTCAAGACATTTGAAAAACCCATTAGTGTAATTCACCATGTTAACAGAAGAGAGGAGAAGAATCATACAGTCACCTCAGTGAACACAGGAAAAGTGTTTGACAGAATTCAGTCATTTGGAACACCTGTTCACAGCAGAAAGTCTCAGCAAACTAGCAACGGAGAACTTCCTCAGCCAGGTAAAGGGCTCTATGGGGGCCCACAGTGGGCCGTGACCATTAACAGTAAAGGACGCGATGTTCCTCCCACACGTGCCCCAAGTGGAAAGCACGGCCAGGGTGTGTGTGCTGAGTTCTCGCCAGTACAGGAAGGTGAGAAAAGAAAACTGCCTTTATTTTATAGGTGACATGATTGTGTACATGGAAAAATAGAAAAGAGTCAATAGAAAAGCTGTTTAAATCACTGAGTTTATCAAGGTCATAGGACACAAGGTCAATATACAAAAACCAGCTGCATTCCGATGTGCTGGAAACAATTTGTAAAAAAAAAAAATTTAATAGTTTGGCATAAAAAATGTGAAATACTTAAAATAACATGCATGATCTGTACACTGACAATTATAAATAGAGAAATAACCACATGTATGGATTTAGAAGACTTAAAATGCTCATTGTCCCCAAACCAATCTATGCATCTCCATGACCCCATCGAAACCCCACTGGCTTTTGATAGACATTGACAAGCTGATTCTAAAACTTAGGTGAAAGTGCAAAGGCCCTGGAATAACTAAAACACCAAAATTGTAGAACAGAGTTTGGAAGACATGCTACCTGATTTCACAGTTTACCAAGCAAGATAATTAAGATCATGTGGTGTTGGTATAAAGACATACATAAATCAGATGGAATAGAATCAAGTTCCCAGAAATGGCCTCCTACACACATAGGCAACTGGTATTCCCCAGAAAGGCCGAGAAAATTCATTGCAGGAAGGGTTAGATTTTCCAAATGTGACATGGGAACAACTGAATAAGCCGTACGGAAAAAAGATAATGAACTTTGAACTTGTACCGTACACAAAAGTTGACTTGAAACAGATAATAGACCTAAATGGAAAAGCTGAAATGGGAGAAAAGCTTCATGACTGTGGCAAAGAGTTTTGGAGGTTACATACAGCTCTCACCATCAAAGAAAAACGATACAATAGATTGGACTGATTCAAAATTTACAACTTTTTGTTTTTTGAAAGACATCGTTAAAATGAAAAGCCAAGCCACAGACTGGGAGAAAATACTGCAAATTTACATCTGACAAAGACTTGTGTTTAGAATGCCTAAAGAACTCACAACTCAGCAAGAAAGCAAACAACTTACTTTATGAAAGGACAGAAGATTTGAACACGATGCAGAAGATAAATGACCAGGAAGCATCTGTTCTTGTGCTGATATAGTCATGAAAGAAATGCCAGTTAAAGCCCAGAGAGATGCCCTGCACACCCGTGTCAGTGGGTAGAATTAAAACCGACAATGCTGAATGTTGGCAAGAAGGTGATGTCACATACACTGCGGGTGGGACTGCAAGAGGGGGTGACCAGTGTGGAAAACAGTTGCCTCTTATATAAAGTCAAATACACACTTAACCATACAGCCCAGCAGTCTCTCTCTTTGGTACTGAGCCAAGAGAAATGAAAGCCTGTTTCCACACCAAGACTCGAATTCACATGCTCTGATAGCCCCAGACCGGGAGCATCCTACGTGCCCAACATCAGACGAGTGTGTGACCACGCTGCGTTGGGGCCATGTCACAGAGAACTGCTCCACAGCGGACGGACGAACACTGCCCTCCCCAGCCGCGCAGAAGTGTCCCTGACCCCAGCGGGGCCGTGTCTGACGATTGCGTTCGCGTGGAAGCATTCTGTTGCAGTCTGGAGGGCTTGACTGCGGAGGCCCCGGAGAACTCGGAGGGTGACGGCGGTGCCGGTGGCAGGCCGGCTGTGTGCTTTAGCCAACAGCGCACGTTTTAGATGAGTGAGTGCGTGTTGGTTTATAAATTCTCCCTCAGTGTTCGGGTTTTTAAGGTGACGCTGTCATCTTGGCAGCTGGCATGGCAGACTTCTCAATTGGGAGTGGTCCTTCAGAAACCGTCCCCACACTGACGGACCGACGGGGGACAGACTGGGGGCACGGGGGCTGGCCAGCTGTGCTCACTCCCTCCTTTTAGCAAGTGTGCTGCGGTGATCCCAGCGCATACGTGACACACACACATACGCATCCTGTCTTCCACGTTGGTGCCACACTTGCTGACGCCCAAGGGTCTTGGGCTTTGGAAGGGGAGCCTGTTGGGGCTGTCAGCCTGTGTCCATAGTGTTGGAATGAATGAGTTGGTGCACCGTGGCAGCGCCAGGTCCATAGACGGACGTCCCGTCTCCTGTCTGGGTCAGCAGGGCCGGGCCAGCGCAGCAGGCCACAGCGGGGAGCTGGGCTGCCAGCGGGAGAGGACGGCCTGGGGGCAGCACTGCTGCTGGACCGCCTGCAGCGGCTCCCTCTGTGCCAGGGACAGGTGGGACCCTTGGTGAGGCCACTCTTGCTTGTGTCTCCTAGGAGTACGCCCAGGCCAGGTTCGATGCCTACTTTGACCAGAAGAGGAAGCTCGGGGTGTGACCATGTGCGGCCTTCCCGCCTGCATCCCTGGATGGCATGGGGGTGGCCGAGCCCGCGGCGCCTCTATGCTCCGACTACTGTACCCGCGGCCAGAAGGCTGAGACGTCTCGCCGCCCAACACAGATGTGTATGATACGAAAGACTGTATTAAAATTGAGTAACATTTATTTCTTATCTCGTTTACGACCTCACTAGGACTCTGAGATTGGGAAGCAGAATTATAGTACACTAGTGCAATAGTGCAATATCTCAGACCCCTCTCATCTAGAGAAGACGTTTCTGTCGCAGGTGCCTTTTGTGGTTAATGTTGATCTTTACACGATGAGAATGGCCGTGCTGGCGGACAGCGCTGAGTGGGCACTGTGATGGGTGTGCAGACACTGCCCGCTCCCGAGGGGGCGGTGACACTGTGACCATGCTCCTTGGCTTGACCACCCCCAACGGCGCGGGGGGCGCGGAGGCCAGGAGGAACGTGGCTACCTGCTTCCTGTCGTCCGAACTTCCCTCTGCTGGTGAATCTCACCCCAACTGGATGTGCCCTACCCCGTGCCCTCTAACAAAGTGCTTTATTAACCCTGGCTTCGGGGCGGGTGGCAGGCCATGGCCACCGAGGGCCACGTGGACACACCTGTCCCCCCACCTGCTCTCTGCCCCCAGCTCCCACCCCCTGCTCAGCCTGGAGCTGGGGCTGCTCCGGCAGGGCTGGCCCCCGGCCCCCAGGCCTGGTCCTGCCCCGTGCCCTCGGAAGCCTTCTGCCGCCCCGGTGCTGGGGCCTTGGCGTGCCCGCGCCCGCTGCCCGCTCATGTGGTCATCACGCGGCCATCCCAGTGGGAGACCACAGCCCGTGGGTGGAGTCTGGGGCATGGATAGAGTATAGCTGTGAAGTCCATGTATATTAAATGTCCTTTGGGATAAATCCTTTTGTTTTTTACTCTGAACTCTTATTTGAATTGTTTTTTTGTGCATACATTCCTGCTACCACAAAGATTGTACCATACAAACAATAAAAAGTATAAAAGGCTATCTCTGCTGTCACCCTGGAATGTGTCCTGAGTCTCGGGGTTGGGGGGACGCAGCTGTTCCCGATGCGGCAGGATGGGCGGGATGGCGGGGTGGCCGGGCAGGTGGAGGGAGACCACCACCCGTCCTTCCAGATGTCTGGAGCTTGGCCGGGAGGGGCCCTCGAAGCCATACCCTCTGTGCAAGGTCTCGGGACACAGCCCCCAACGCTGCCTGTGCCCACGAGGCCCTCCGCCCCAGCCCCATCTGCCTTAGACCCCAGGACTCTGCCGGGCGGCGACCCGCGGGGTCAGGTCAGCTCCGAAGTCACGGCTCGGGTGGCAGCTCTCCTCCCAGCCCCACCCTCGCCCCCTCCTCACTGCTTTCATCCTAGGTAGCATTCCCGGCTTCCCATCTCCTCAGTGTCCTCCTGGGTCAGACCGCACGCTCGCCAGAGCAGGGGTCAGGCTTGTCCCTGGTGCAGGTGGCCCCCCACCCACCCCGTCCCTGCGTCTCCTGAGGGTGACCTCCAGCCCCGGGGTGTGCCACCCCAAGCCCTGGGTGTGCTGGTCCCACAGCGCCCAGCGCTCTCAGCCAGGCTGCTAGCTGTCCGTGCGGCCAGCCTCTCTCCGGGCTCACACCTCCCTCCCCCCAAACACGCCCGGCTCAGCGCTGGGCACCTGCTCCACCTGCGAGTGCTCAGCTCTGCTCCCCAGGAAGGTGAAGCTCGGAGTCCTGGGCTCAGTCCAGTTCCTGAGACACACGCCACCCTCTGTTCCTAACCAGACACTGCTCTTTCTTGGAGCCAGGTCTCTGCCAGGCATGTGGGCTGTAGCCCAGAGGCCTGGGGCCCTGAGCCGGGGCAGCCCTGGACTCCAGAGGGACAGGCTCCTCCCAGCAGCTGGCCAGATGGAGCCACAGTGGTGGGGCCTCCTCCCTGCTGGCTGTGCCCGGGGCGTCTCTGCCTTCAAGGCAGCCTTTGTTCCTGGGGCCTGCAGCCGGAAGAACCACTTGGCAGCTCCTCGGAGGGAGAGCGCGAGGCCTCGGGGAAGCACTGGCTCTGCTCCCCAGCCAGCGGTGGGACCCAGGTCAGAGATGCCCACAGGGTGCCACCTTCCCCCCAGCAGCTGGACAGCCAGGGGGCAGGATTGCCCACCAGGGTGGGGGGGTGGGAAACGGGTAAGATGGTGGCCTCTGGGGACAGGAAGGGAGGCAGGCCGTGGGGTCCGGTTCAGCCCTTTTTTGACCCTCAGAGCCCTGGGCAATGCTCGGGGTGCCCTGGACAGCTTCTGCCCACATCTGCAGGAAGGTGGCCTTGGGTGTGACCCGCCATCCCCTGTGGAGTGATGCACTGCCCCCTGTGCAGTGCGGGTCACACAGTGCCCCAGGCTGCTCTCCACTCCAGAGCTTTGTGAGTGCCAATGGCCAGCGCCAGCATAAGGACATGAGAATCTGGCCAATTCATGCCAAGCACCTCCCTCCACACCCTGAGTATCCGAGACATCATCCTATAGTTTGCCTACCTCCAAGGACAGGGAGCTCACTCACTCCCCCTGGTCCAGCCTGGGACAACAGTCATCCTGAGCTAAAATGCACTAGACACATCTGTCATCTGTCCTAGTTCTGCCCTCTCCCCGCTTCCCCGAGTCTGGGGGTCCTGCAGATGTGCTTCTGGGCCTCTGGTGACATCTTGAGGCCCCAGATCCTAGATAGTGCTTCCCACCTCTCCACACCCCATACCAGCTTCAGCTGCAAAGACAGACCTCAGAGAGACACAGGCTGGGACGGTGTCCCTCAAACCAGAAGAGGCTCCTGAGGAAGGACCAGCCCAGCGAGAGCCCAGGCTCCTGCACACCAGCCTCCCAGGCCCTGCCTCTCAGACAAGACCAAGACACGGGTCCTAGGCCTTCTTTGCCTTTATTACTTTTTTAACTCGGTCGCACCATGTGGCATTGGGATCATAGATCCCTGACCAGGGATCGGGCTGTATTGGAAGCACCATCCCTGTATTGGAAGCATGAGGTCTTAAGTGCTGAACCACCAGGGAAGTCCACGGCCTCGGTATTTGTTTCCCGCTCCGTGCAATAAGGGCAGGTTGTGGGTGTTACTCATCGTCCACCGCAAAGGTGAAGGGGCTCAGCTTGTAGCCGGAGCCCGAGTAGAACTTGTTCTGGAACTCCACCCTGGGGGACGAGAGAGAGCTGGTGAGAGGACACCTGCCCCCCGGCCCACCCCCCGCGCTGCCCGCACCAGCCCGTGGCCTCTCACCAGTGCAGCCGCAGTGCGTGCAGGAAGGCTGAGAGCCCCTCCATCACCAGCAGGATGGCCACGGTCATCACGGCGAAGGCGGCAAAGACGGGGACCAGCACCACGGCCTCCACGCCCATCTCACCGCCCAGGCCCAGGCCAACTCGCATCACCATGGCCCACAGGACCTCCGACAGTTCTGCAGGTGAGGGAGGGAGCAGTGGGAACCGCCTTGGCGTCCCGAAGTCCATCCTCCCCAAGGTCAGCAGGGGACCGGGACCCCACCCCCCCACCCCCCTTTCCAGACAGGGACACTGGGAAGTGCTGGGAGGAGATGTGTGGGGGCAGGCGCCGGGACTCACGGGCGTGGGCCAGGCTTAGGGCCCAGAGGCGCAGGTAGGAGGCCGTGTTGGAGATGCAGCCGAGGCAGAACTCGATGGTGTGGATGGCCTGGTGCATGAACACCTCGGACAGGACAAACTGGGGGGGACGGGCAGCAGTGAGGGGCAAGCCGGGCCGCTGGCCTCCTGCAACCCAGGGAGTCCCCACACCCACCTCTTCCTCCTCTTGGTCCCCGGGGCATCCGGCCTTCTCCTCATCAGAGTTCTGGCTGGCCACAGACACCTCGGGCTGGCCCAGAAGCCCGGCCTTGTCCTCATCCTGGAGGTGGGAGCAGCAGCATCAGCAGACGCATGGGCCCCGGGGGGCTCTCACGGCCCGGCGGGACCCTCCGCGCCAAGCCCACACGCCTCCCCTGCCCCTACCAGCGGTCGCCGCCTCCGAAACTGGCGGCGCTGGTGCTTCCGGCGCAGGAACAACGGAGTGCCCAGCAGCAGCACGGGCACCGTAGCCAGGGCCAGGACCACCAGGGTGGACTGCACCACCTCCTGCGAGGGAGGGGCGGGAGTCAGGGCGCCACGCGGTTCCCGGGGCCCAAGGAGCCTGCCCCCCACTCCTCCGCCGGGGCCCCTCACGGAGCAGGGACGCCGCCCCACACGGAGTTCTGGGAGGATGGCACCCCAGGCTTCCAGCACCCCCTCGGCTGGACCATCTCTGCTGGTCCTCCGTCCGACCTCCCTCCTCGTCTCACGGCCTCAGGTCTGCATCCCGCTTTTCAGACCAGGAGCCTGCCGCCAAGGGGCGGGGCCCCGTCGTGGGGGTGGGTGGGCCCACCCGGCCCCAACCGGCCCGAGCCCACCGGCTCCACCCCGCCCCACCCACCGGCCCGAGCCCACCGGCCTCGGCCCCGCCCACCTGCCCCCGGAAGAGCGGCCGGTTGGTGGGGCTGCGCGAGAAGAGGAACATGTTGATGAAGTGGATCAGGATGCTGGGGGCCGTGGCAGCGCTGTCGGCCGTGAAGCACAGCCACTTGTAGATGACCAGGAAGACCAGGTAGCCGAACAGCCCCAGCAGGAAGACCAGCTCTGGGAGGGTCTCCAGAAGCAGCCGGTGCCACTGGCCGAAGTGCCTGGGGCAGGGGCATCGGGTCACCAGGCCACTCTGGCCCTGCTCAGGGCCCCCAACCCCAGGACCCCGGCCCTCACACGTGGTTGAAGACTCCCAGGACCACCCCGAAGGTCATGTGGGTGACCCCCAGGATGACGGACATCTTCATCTTGAAGGAGTTGAGGAAGCTCAGGTGGTTGACCGCCAGGCTCCAGACCTGGGGGAGCAGGAGGGCCGGGGGGTCACGAAGGGGCCTCCCCACCCGAGTCACTCTCATTGGCCTGCGTGTGCCCCTCCAGGGCCCCCTGCACAATCCGTCACCCACCGATGAGGGGCAGCAGAGCGTCGTGGTTAAGAGCACAGCCTGGGCCCCTACCCCAGCTCCTCCTGGCCGGGGAACTCTGGGCATGTACCCTCAGCTTCCTCATGTATGAAATGGGGAGAGTGTGCACTGGCATGCACTCCATGGAGTTGTCACAAGGACTGGACACGAAATCGTTTCAACAAGGCCTCAGAACGGTGCCCGCCTGGCACAGAACACTGTCCTTATCAGGACTCACTTCTCTGCTTTTCAAGAGGCTGCAGTGTGGGCCCTGCCAGGCAGGCCCTGGTCTGAGGGACCCTGAGCGGAGAGCCCCAACCCACCCTCCCGCCCACACCACCCCGGACGGATGGCCAGAACTCACAGGGTCGATGCCGAAGGGGTAGGGTCCCAGGAAGACGCCGGTGACGTTGGGGTCCAGGGCAAGCAGCTGGTGCTGGGCCAGGAAGGCATCGCTGTGACAAGAGTGGGGAGGGGGCGGTCAGGGGCCCAGGGGCCTCAGGACTGCAGCAGGGGAGTGGCCGGGCCTCACCTCCAGCCAGACTGGTTGGCCATGGCTGCCACGCTCCAGCCCGAGGGGAAGATGGCCGTGGCGCGGCTGAAGCACTCGTTGTAGATGAAGCCAGTGTAGACGGAGAACAGGCCCATGAGCAGCAGCAGGTAGCGGCCCCCGAAGAAGGTCCTCCAGATCTGGGGGTGTGGGTATGGTGAGAGCCAGCCCTGGCCGTGCCTGCACCCTGCTTCTCCCCCAACCCCCAGCCCCCCGCCACCCCTCACCTCGTTCTGCGCTGACTTCACAGCCGGCTGGTTCTCGGCCAGCACCATGGCCAGGGCAAAGAGGAACATCAGCAGCCCGTGGCCCACATCACCAAACATGACAGCAAAGAGGAAGGGGAAGGTGATGATGGTGTAGGGTGCTGTGGGCAGAGGGGCCACATGGTCAGCCAGGACCCCGGCCCTGTAGAGGGGCCCCCAAGCCAGGGTCCAGGGCCCCAGGAGACACAAAGGT